TGCTATCTTGATCTCTCTTCGCTCTTGCTCTTTACTCAGTATTTGTTCTTCACTTTTGAGAATCTTCAAGATTAGCTTGCTTTTTTGCATCTATTCATCTAACTGTTTGCCTCTATTACTTGTTATCTTCTCAATATCTTCACCACTTTTGGCTTTAATTTCTCTAATTCTTTTGTTAATTTTATTGCTATTTAACTCTACTTTCTTTGCAGATATCTTCTTGACTTTGCTAATAACTTTGCTTAATACTGTTATAACTTCATGTAATTTTGAGTTTTTCTTTTTCTTTGTATGTTGCTATGCATCTACTTGGATTCGTTTTGATGGAATATTTTTTTTTGCTATATACTTAATGCCTTTAGTAATAATTCTCCATACTATATTAATATTGTCACCTATTACTTTTCTGAGTGCTCTGTTTAATCTATTGTTTTTCAGTAAAAAATATTTCAAGTCTATACTATAACCTTCTCAGTTTTCTTTTTTTGCTTCATCGTATATATAAATTAATCTACTTGGGCTTCTTGGCTTTAACTTAACTAGGATTAGTTTTTTAATTCATCATTCGAGATACACTGTTGATCTTATGATTTCATGATCACTTGCTATTATATATTTTGCTTTTTTGATTTTAGCTTTCTTTAAATCTATGCTTAAATTTTCTAAAATTCAGATTTGGTCAATTCTTGTTTTTGCATCTTGACTCTACCATGTAAAATATTTAACTCCTAGATTTAGTACTCTAAATATATCAACAAAGCCCTGTGCTTGAAACCATTTATGTAAACTAAGTACTTTGGTATTATATGTCTTACTTGGTTCTATTCTGTCTAATTTCTTGTTTACAATATGATTAAAATCACCTATTACTTTGAAGTGAACATTACCTAATCTTTCTATATATCTTTTAATCACTTTATGTTGCTCTTCTTTTTTGACTTTATTGTTATTTGGTGAAATATAAAGTACTAAGACTACTAATTCAAATTTTTTAAAATAAAATTTTGCCTCTATTATGTATTCTTTGAACTTTGAAATCTTTTCCAAGTGTTTTTCTCATTTGGAGTTGATTAATATACCAATACCTAATCCTTTTCTTTTAGTAATCTTATCTTTTGACCAGTAACCTCTATATGAAATTTCTTTTTGTATGAATTTTGTATCTTTTTTATTGATATTTATTTCAACTAGCCCTAGTATATCTATTTTCTTCTCTGTTGCCCACTTACAAAATATCTTTAATTTGGCTTTATTGTTTTTGATTCTATTAATATTATGACATGCTACTTCAACTTTGGGTATTTCTTCTTGCACTATTTTGGTTATTTCTTTCTTGCTTCTTTTTGTAGTAGATGCTATGAGTCTACTTTTTCTACTAGAGATACCTATAGCCATTTTTAGGAGCAGTTTGGCCTAGCCAGATTCTTAACTAGTTCCTCTAATTCTGCAATTCTACTCAAAATCTTGTTCTTGTTTCTTATACTTTTATTGTTATTATTATTTGAACTTGATGACCACTGCTTCTTTCCGTTTAAGGATTTTCTTGAATGACTTCTATCTCTACTTTCTTTTTTTCTGATCTCTTGTCTCGAGTGCTTTCTTCTTTTTCTTAATCTGTTATTGCTTGGAAGGTGACTTTGCTTTGTTTTAGCTAACTTTCCAGTATAGCTTGTACTCCTATTTCTTTTCACATTACCTAGCTCTTCATACAAGTGCCTTTGATTATAACTCTCTTCTGTTTTGTCCTCTTCTTCTTGATACTAATTGAGTTTTGTATTGTAGTAAAATATCTTCTCTTTTTTTGCCTTCATAAAGTCCTCTAGAGATGTAACATAAACTATCACCACTCTTCTTGGATTATCATTACTATTGTTTGGAAAAAAGACTAATTTTGCTTTAATTCTAAATAATTGTCTTAGCAAAAGTGCTTTTATTGCATATCTTGGGATGTTTGTAATTTTTGCTTTGTATTAATTTCTCTCTAGCAGCTCTTCTTTCTTAAAATCATCTCTTGTCATTTTTAGGAGTTTACCATTTGCTAGAGGTATTGCCCACCTATTGTTTTACTCTTGTCTTCTTTTTTCATTCTTGAAAGCAATTTGTATATATGCCATGCTACTTGTTTGTCTTCCTTTCCACTTGATTATAGTAGTTCTTCCAAAGAAACTTAATTCTTTTTTGAGACTTCTTGGTGTTGTTTCTGCAGATATATCCCAAATTATATAAGTATTGTCAAAGCTCTCTGCTTTAGATTCTTTGCTTTCTTCTGATATGTTTTTACTTGTTTTGTTTTCTTCTATCTTTGTGTTTGTATCATTCTTCTTTTGTATTCCAGTATTGACTCTTTCAGAGTCTTGATTCTTTTTTTCTTTGGTTTTTCTAACTACTTTTGATTCTTTATTAACTCTGTTTAGTATCTTCTCTTCTGCTTGAGCTATACATTCTGTAAAGAGATTGTAGTTTTCCTCAATATCATAATCTATTGTTCTACACTCTGACTCTAGCATTGCTTCTCTTTTTTGTTAACTTGCTTTAAGATTTTTTTTCTCATTATGATTATCTTCTTGTATTTCTTTAAGCTGTTTTTTAGACAAGTTTCGGTAATTTTCAAGCAGAATCCTTATAATACAGATTTCATCTGCTGAAATTGTTTTAAAAGCTTGAGCTAGTTCTTCGTCTACGACTTGTATGTTTGTACATGTTTTTTCTAAAAAATCGTTACAAGCCTATAAGCCAAGCCTAAATGCTTGCATCCTTTTTTAAGGAAATTAATTTTTTATTCTGATACTGGTGTGTAATTAATTGATCTTCTGCTATTAGTTTACTTTTCTAGATGATTCCTGTTAGATCTGGAATTTGGGTTGTTGCTAAAAATAGAATGCATCTTGTTTGTTTGTTTATTTGTTTGTTTGTTTGTTTATTTGTTGTTTATTTGTTGTTTCTGTTATTGTTTACGTGTTGAGAAACTGATCGACAGTTCAGGGTGTAAGCCAATTCCCCAAAATACTGACAAATTTAAAACAAAATTATTAAAGCCTTCTTTTGGTTGAAAGTCTAACTATACTTTCTAGATGGGTGTTCTAAATAACTCCTTTTTGTTTAACTTTCTTATCTCTTTGTATTATGAGAGTATATCTTGTTTTTTGATTAGAAAATATATTATTTCTATGTTTTGTTTAGCTTTAAAATTGGACCAGAGGATCAGCGGGGAAGAGTTGTTAATTCTATTTTTATGAAATTTTGATAAGATAATATTTTATTATCTTACTTATTTATAATCACTATATATTTTTGCTACAACAAACTTGATGATTATAAAAAAGGATAACTATATATATAAAAAAAAATTTAACAAATTTTGGTTAAAAGATCTTTGTTTAAAGTTTTATAAATTTTTTATATTATTTTAAAATTTTAAACAAAGATATCTTACAATTATCTAATCAAATTTAATAAACTATTTTTATTTCAATTTTACTTGTGAAATCAAAATAAAAAAAAAAATGTTTATCAAATTTGATGAGTAATCAACAAGCTTAATTTTTTTTTAAAAAAAAAACTTAAATTTTATGAAAAATAAATAATAGCCACTAAAAATATTTTTATATACAAATTACTGATTTTGGTAAACTGTTACATTTACAAATGTTGGTTTATAGGTTTTTCAAAATACAGTATATAAATACACAAGTAAATAATTTTTAACTTCATATAATATATATACAATATATTATTATCTGAAGATTTGAATTTTATTAAGATTGTTAATATAAAGTATATATTTAATTTACAAAATGACATTTTTAATGTGGGTGATGCCAAAATTGATTACAAAATGGTATATCGAACATAATAAATCATAATAGTATACCTCCGGAAGCTTGTAATATATAATTTACTCTAAATTATTTATTAATATAATAATATACAAGATAGTAAATGACCTGGTGTCTCGATTAATTACATATGTGAAAAATTTGTTGTTCAAATTCATCCAGAGTCATTATTTCAACCTATTATTATAAGCCAATTGGGTTTTAAATTTAATAGTAAAAATAATGCAACAATATTAATAATAACTTACCCCGTATATGGTTATCATTTCCAATGAATACTTTTGATCATCAATAATAATAAAATGTCTATAACTTTTGTAATACTTATTAAATAGAATGTTCATCGAAGAATAACAGTATTCGTTCATGTCAACAGTCTCCTATTACAATATAAAAAAATACTTTAAACGTGTTCACCGCAAATGCATATATATGTCGTGCTGAGGTTGACACCTGCTTGGAGTTGCAACTTCAGACGCCTAAAGTAGTATTAATGCACAAATATCTAATTTTCAAGGGCTTAATTTTGCTTAGGTGCGACTTCAGGCACCAAAAGTTGCAATTCAAGGACGTCATATATGTATTACCAAGTGAAAACCTATAAGAATTTATGATTTCATTGTACCGACCTAAAACTCAGAAGAATTGTGATATTACGTAAATGAAATACGTTACATTTTGTGTTCTAGTCATTTCGATAGTATTTGTTAATACTGATCGTACGATGATTAAATTACGTAATATCAAAATTTTCAGGGACTAGATCCGATACGATGTAAATTTAAACCTGTAAATACTAACAGGCTTTCAATTGGCAGTATTCATACATTACCTCATCCTTAATTTCATCCGGTAATAGATATTTAACTGAATTACATTCATTGATTAAAGAAGACATTTCATCACATAATCTTCTAAGCCTATTTTAATAAAACGTTAACTAAAGTGTCAGAAAAACATGAATAATAAAACATACTAACATATAATAATGTGCATTATATTGTGCCAAATATTTCTTTTTCAGCTTTTCAAGAAATAACATAGGAATTTTTAACTCCCACCCTGGATTCTAATGGTTATTATCCAAAAAATATATATAGAACATATATTAGAAACTTAAGAAATACATCATAAATACTATAATATTCCAAATTGAAAAGATATCTATACATGGTTAAGAAATTGTTGCATGTTTCCTAAAATCTGATCATATTTCAAAAGAGCTCTTTCTGTTATTACAATAATACCACCTATAATCAAATCGTAATATTTAATATTTCGCAGTAACACATAAACTTATAAGAAAAAGTATACACCTGAAACTAAAATTTCACTTGGAATTAATCCAGGTTCTTCAATTAGATAGAACTTAACCCCTCGCTTATACCTCACATCCATATAATTAAGTCCAGGAGAAGGGGGTTTTCTGAAGTTTCTTTGATAAATCTATAAGAAGTAAAAATTAAAGCCATCTTACAACGGTCAGTGAGTAATAAGTTAAAACAAATGAGTAATTAATTACCAGTATACAATCAATATGCGGATCAAGAATTGTCGTTTCCCTTGCGCCGATAGATATCATAAAATCGAATATTTGGTCACTTTTATTTTTTTCAACTAAAATAAATTTTGATTCTTCTAGGTCTGACAAAGTTTCAGAAGACCATTGCATTAAATAATTCATAGGAAATTTGTCTTTTTTATAGCGTAACATGATAAAAGGTTCTGTAGGACGCTCAATTCGAAGTTGGGTGCACAAAGAAGAATAGGGAGGTATCAAAAATAGAACCCATGAATTTAACGAAATTACCGCCATCTACATTGATACATAATTTATTTAGGATATAATATTACAATAAATAGAATCAAAAAAACCTTGATGTATAATTAATATATTACCTCATCTTTTTTTCTAAGCTCTTTTGATTCAAGGTGAAGGTCGGATTTTTTTCCATCATATTCCGACACTAGGTAGATAGCGTAAAATGGTTCACTTGAATCTTTTTTTTTACCCTCCGCCGCCGCATCATGCTCGATTACTTTAACAAGTAGTTTCAGTGATTGAACACGTTCAATCACAAGTTTATCTGTTCGTCGTATTTCTTGGCTAGACAAAATTTTAGAATTAAATATTATACATTAACGTATTAAACGGAAAATATTTTAACGGGTTAAATAAATGACACCTACTGGAATTGTGGGTCCCTTTTAAATAAAATCATCATATTAAGAGTTATCTCACCAATAAATTTCTCGTTATAATCGTTTTTTGCAGAGGTAATTTTCTTATACAATCGCCCACACCAATTATGGTCGTCCCTCACTGGTACTGAAGTATCAGATGATAACATAGGCTCATACTGATCATTGGTACATATCAAGTTGGTTAATTCTTTATGTTCTCTTTTCACAGGCTGATTCCCAAACTCTTTCCGACTATGATCCTCTGTAGAGGCCATTGACATATTTGATTGCTCATCTAATTTTCTACTCGTCTTTTGATCCTTTGATAATGCGAGCTTATGCTTGCTATATCATTAATAATAAAAATTAAACATTAAGTATTTGACTCTAGACAAAAGGACAAAAAAAAAAAAAGAAAACAATAATAATACCTTGAAAATGATTCAAAAGGAACGCCCGCTGACCACGGGGGTATTTTGTCTTGATACATTAACGCAAATTTTGATGGCTTATAAGACAATGCAGACGACTCTTGTTCCGACATTTTCGGAGCATTCCCAGATGAAGAACCGATAGATGAGGCTTCAATATTTTCTTTTTTGAGATAATCTGTCATCATTAATGAACTATTGAATATGTCATTTTTCGAACTAGATGGTAAAGTGACGCAATTGCCATGTCTATGATCGTCATTTTCCACTTTTGATGAAATGACGATTCGACTTTTTTTATATTTTATTGCGGGCAATCTATAATCTCTATTTTTTTTAAATTTATTAGACGGTTCACCATATTCATCGTGTGCCTTTGATTATAACTCTCTTCTGTTTTGTCCTCTTCTTCTTGATACTAATTGAGTTTTGTATTGTAGTAAAATA